TATAGCACCTTTCAACACAAGGCAATTCAAGGTGCTTTACAAAAATGAAAGACATTCAGACAAAGGCATTTAAAATCAGTCATTAAAAAGAAAAGATAATAAAAGAAGCATTAAAAGAAAAAATACATTAATAAAAAGTGCATGAATAAAAAAGTACATGAATCAAAAGTTGCAGTGCAGTTTAAGATATGAATAGTTCACACAGAAGTTCCATTTTACTGATGAAAGTCTTCAGCCATAATAATAATTTAGCAGGAGATCAGAAATGTATTTTGGGCCTAAACCATTCAAAGCTTTATAAACCAGCAGCAGTATTTTGAAATATATTCTTTGACACACAGGAAGCCAGTGTAAGGACTTCAGAACAGGACTGATCCACTTTCTTAGTGTCAGTGAGGAACCAGTGTAAAGACTTCAGAACAGGACTGATCCACTTTCTTAGTGTCAGTGAGGAACCAGTGTAAAGACTTCAGAACAGGACTGATGTGATCCACTTTCTTAGTGTCAGTGAGGAACCAGTGTAAAGACTTCAGAACAGGACTGATCCACTTTCTTAGTGTCAGTGAGGAACCAGTGTAAAGACTTCAGAACAGGACTGATGTGATCCACTTTCTTAGTGTCAGTGAGGAACCAGTGTAAAGACTTCAGAACAGGAGTGATGTGATCCACTTTCTTAGTGTCAGTGAGGAACCAGTGTAAAGACTTCAGAACAGGAGTGATGTGATCCACTTTCTTAGTGTTAGTGAGGACTCGAGCAGCAGCGTTCTGAATCAGCTGCAGCTTTCTAATAGATGTTTTAGTGAGACCTGTAAAGACACCATTGCAGTAGTCCAGTCTACTGAAGATAAAAGCATGGACAAGTTTTTCCAGATCCTGCTGTGACTTTAGTCTTTTAATCCTAGATATGTTCTTTAGGTGATAGTAGGCTGATTTAGTAACTGTTTTAATGTGACTGTTGAAACTCAGGTCAGAGTCCATGACTACACCTAGATTTCTGGTTGTATCTGTTGTTTTGAACATTGCAGACTGAAGCTCAGCGCTAACTTTTATACGTTCTGCCTTGGCTCCAAAAACCATTACCTCAGTTTTATCTTTGTTTAATTGGAGAAAGTTCTGACACATCCAGTCATTGATTTGTTCAATGCACTTACTCAGTGTTTGAATTGGAGCATAATCTCCTGGTGAAATTGTTACGTAAATTTGTGTGTCATCCGCATAGCTATGGTAACTTATTTTGTTGTTTTTCATTATCTGACCCAGTGGTAGCATGTAGATGTTAAAGAGAAGAGGCCCCAAGATGGAGCCTTGAGGAACCCCACATGTCATATTTGTCAACTCAGATGTGTATTTACCTTTAGAAACAAAGTTGTTTCTGTCCTTTAAGTAGGACTCAAACCAATTTAGAACTGTTGCCGAAAGTCCCACCCAGTGTTCCAGTCGGTCTAGTAATATGTTGTGGTCAACAGTGTCAAACGCAGCACTGAGATCTAACAATACTAACACTGAAGTTCTGCCACTGTCTGTGTTTAATTTAATTTAATTTCAAAACCTTTATTTAACCAGATGGTCCCATTGAGATCATAGATCTCTTTTCAAGGGAGACCTGCAAGCATATAGGTTCCACATGAAACATAAAACAATAAAGGGACATCATACATTATATTTACAGGATACATTTACATAGTTATAGACATTTACAAATTACCCCATAGTATCAACGAGCATTTCATTTATCCTAGCTTTAAAAACATGCAGAGGAATGAGATTGCCTCAGTTTCAATTCTTGCTTGAAGATTGTTCCAAGCAAGTGGAGGCTGCGCACATAAAAGCTGTCTCACCTCAGACAGTCCTTGCTCTTGGCACATCTAACAAGACTACATCATGCGATCTCAGACAATAGCTGCTTGCAACTCTCTGTGTTATCAGAGAGCAGATATAATACGGGAGTTTACCCAACAAAGCTTTATAAATAAACGTGTACCAGTGACTGAGCCTCCGTACAGTAAGTGATGGCAGACCTGCCTTGGCATACAGGGTACAGTGATGAGTGAGTGCTTTACAATTTGTGACAAATCTCAGTGCGCTGTGATAGGCGGCATCTAACTTGATCAGGCAATGGGCAGGTGCATTCATATAGACCAGACCACCATAGTCCAGCTCAGGTCAAAAGGTCACAGAGCCTTTTCCTGGCCTCGAGTGAGAAACAGGACTTGTTTCTGAAAAAGAAACCTAGTCTAACCCTCAGCTTTCTAAGCAGGTTATTGACATGAAGTTTAAAAGTAAGACAATCATCAAGCCAGATACCTAGGTATTTGTAACAGCTAACCACTTGGAGTACTTGTCCTTGCATAGTAACAATATCTAAAACAGGCTCTGGTGTCTTTTTATCTTTAGAAAAGAGCATTACCTTGGTTTTATCAACATTTAAAAGAAGCTTTAGTTCAGAGAGCTGAGTCTGAATAATGTTAAAAACAGCCTGTAATTTAACACCAGCCTCCTTAATGGAGGGACCTGCACAGTACATCACGGTGTCATCCGCATAGAAAAGTAAAGTAGCTGTTTAAGTGGATGTCATTGAAGACCTTTACAAGAGCAGTCTCAGTGCTGTGGTTTGGACGAAATCCTGACTGGAACACATCCAAACAGTTATTTAAATGCAAGAAGTTACTCAACTGTTGAAAAACAACTTTTTCAATGATTTTACCTAGAAATGGCAGGTTTGATATTGGCCTGTAATTGTTCATTACTGAAGCATCTAGATTATTCTTTTTTAAGAGCGGTTTAATGACTGCAGTTTTCAGGGCCTCTGGAAAAACACCTGAGTGAAGAGATGTGTTTACTATATGAAGTATATCTGAGGCCATGCAATGAAAAACATCTTTGAAAAATCCTGTTGGAATAATATCAAGGCAGCAGGAGGAGGATTTCAGAAGTTGAATAATGTCCTCTAAGTTTTTATCATTAATCTGATGGAATTGTGTCATGGTGTCTGAATTGATATTAGGTGGACATAGGGACAACACACCTGCTGTACCTGATGCAGAGGCACTGACTGCTTGTCTGATGTTCTGAATGTTGTCAGTGAAGAAGAAGGCAAAGTCATTGCAGGCCCTGGTGGATAGAAGTTCAGAGGCTACTGACACTGGGGGGTTAGTTAGTCTGTCGACGGTAGCAAACAAGGCACGTGCGTTGTTTTTGTTTTTGGTAATGATGTCAGAGAAGAAAGACTGTCGTGCGTTTTTCAATTCCAAATGATAAAGGCCAAGTCTCTCTTTATAGATTTCAAAGTGAACCTGGAGATTTGTTTTTCGCCACCTGCGTTCAGCTTTTCGACACTCTCTTTTTTCTGTTCTCACGGTCATGGCCTTTCTCCATGGAGATCTTTCTTGCCAATCACTTCCTTTACCTTCGTTGGAGCAATGGCATCTATAACATTTTTAATTTTTGAATTAAAAGGATCTACTAGCTCATTTACTGAGATGCTAGCAGGGGCAAGTGTGGAAGAAACATTCTTATTATTGCTCATAAAATGCTCATATATTTTTTTCTCTTCATTCCCCCCGCCCAAAATAAATAAATGAATAAATATACCAATTTTAGGAAAAGTAACGAAGTTTGAGCAGTGTGGGTTTTATATTAACAGAGTTACACATATCAAAACGCGAAGTGTAATAACTGCAGTTTGACTCCCTGTCACAGAGAATGACAAAGATCCTCAGTGAAGCACACCCATGTTTCTCACTACATTGTAAGTACAACTTATTAAAAAGATCAGTTCAATGCAACTAATGTCGTCTTAGTGTTATTGCATGATGTTCAAATTGGTTTGCCATGAATTTAGTGATGGATTATAAACATTTGAAATGTAGCATTTAAGTGTTTCTCAGTTACAAGGTTGTTGTTTTAATAAATCAGACACTGATGGTGCAAGGCATCAGTAGTCTAGTCTGGATGGTGTACCAGAGAGGATGCAGTAGTCTAGTCTGGATGGTGTACCAGAGAGGATGCAGTAGTCTAGTCTGGATGGTGTACCAGAGAGGATGCAGTAGTCTAGTCTGGATGGTGTAGCACAGAGGATGCAGTAGTCTAGTCTGGATGGTGTACCAGAGAGGATGCAGTAGTCTAGTCTGGATGGTGTACCAGAGAGGATGCAGTAGTCTAGTCTGGATGGTGTACCAGAGAGGATGCAGTAGTCTAGTCTGGATGGTGTACCAGAGAGGATGCAGTAGTCTAGTCTGGATGGTGTAGCACAGAGGATGCGTAGTCTAGTCTGGATGGTGTACCAGAGAGGATGCAGTAGTCTAGTCTGGATGGTGTACCAGAGAGGATGCAGTAGTCTAGTCTGGATGGTGTACCAGAGAGATGCAGTAGTCTAGTCTGGATGGTGTACCAGAGGGATGCAGTAGTCCAGTCTGGATGGTGTACCAGAGGATGCAGTAGTCTAGTCTGGATGTTGTACCAGAGAGGATGCAGTAGTCTAGTCTGGATGGTGTCGCACAGAGGATGCAGTAGTCTAGTCTGGATGGTGTACCAGAGATGCAGTAGTCTAGTCTGGATGGTGTAGCAGAGAGGATGGGCAGTAGTCTAGTCTGGATGGTGTAGCATAGAGGTAGAAGTTTTGGTGATGTGCTTTTTATGGTTTTTCAAAGGAGGTTGCTGTCGAAAAATGACTCCGAGGTTGCGGATGTCAATGGTGAGGGAGATGTCGTTATTGTTTTTGGTGTGGGATTCGGGGCGATTATGACCATGTCCGATTTTCAAGCGTTCCTTTTATATTACATGTTCACCCTTTTGATCTGAGTATTCTTTACCTCCTAGTTTGAGGAGGAGCCTGATCCAGATTCAGCTCGATGTCCATCTAGCCTGATATCCTTCGGAGCAAACGTGTATCTCATTTGTGCTGCGTAGAAATATTTTCTAAGGTCTGGTGGTGCTAGGCCCCAGTTTCCTTGTGTGAGCCTGATTCTTGGCCTGGGTCCAGCACAAATACACACGGGAAATCAGCAAGATGGGGTCTGCCGGCTGAGGGTCTCGACCCTCTCCGTCGCGGTGTTCGGCTCCAATGAGTCCTGCAGCTGCATCTGGATCTGGATCTGGTTCTGGTTCTGATCCCTGTTGGGCCGGCGCCGGCCGCAGACCTGCATTAAGCAGCACTGCAGGTCTCTGCGGATGCTGTGCTGGAGAGGAGACGTAGAGGAGGGGGTTAGCGGCACTGTTGACGGTGGAGAGACCCAAGCGCCACGATGTACGGCGTGTAGAGTCTCCGCTCCATCAGGCAGGCCTGCAGGGGGGGGGCGGCCCTCAGGGGGGGGGCAGCCCTCAGCAGCAGGATCACATGGTACGGCCCGAAGCAGACCAGAAACAGCAGCACCACGGCCACCGCCAGCCCGACACGCTCTTCTGCTGCTGCGCCCAGCCCGGTGCTATGCCCGCACGCTAGCCAGCACGCCGCGGTTAGCTCCAGCAGCACCAGCAGCGGCAGCAGGAAGCCCAGCAGGAAGCGGGTGTAGCTTAAACCCGTAACCCCGCGCTCGCTCGAAGCAGCGGGCGCTCGCCCTCGGCGGCGTCGCCCTCCCTCATGGTGAACACCGGGAGGTGAGCGGCTCCACCAAGCACACCACGGCGAGCACCAGCAGGGCAGCGAGGCGCTGCCGGCGCAGGCCGATGGACTCCAGGCTGAAAGCCACTGCTACGTAGCGGTCGCACGACACGCAGCACAGCAGCGAGATGCTGATGTACATGTTGGTGAAGAACACGTAGCCCGTTAGCTTGCAAGCTAATGAGCTCCAGGGCCAGCAGTGGCCCGCGCTCACATAGACGGCCCACAGCGGCAGCGTGGACAGGTAGGTGAGGTCGCACAGCGAGAGGCTCAGCAGGTACACGGCCAGCACGTTGCTCCTGCGCACCTGCAGCCATGTGAGGCCGACGGTCAGTAGGTTAGCCGGCAGTCCCACCGTTAGCACGGCGGTGTACAGCAGCAGTAGCGGCAACCGCGCCTCGCCGTACGGAAGCTCGCAGGACGAGGCTGTTCTTCAGAGCGTCGCTCAGCGGGGGGGCCATCATGTCTGCATGGAAACAGGGACGGCCAATCAGAATCAAGATCAGGAGAAACCAAACTGGTCATCTACCTGACGTCACATCACTCTGTCAACAGTTCTGACAAAAGTCTCATTATTCTGACTTATGAACGTTATTACTCTCTAAGTCATGATGAACGTTATTAACTCTTTAAAGTCATGATGAACGTTATTAACTCTCTAAAGTCATGATGAACGTTATTAACTCTCTAAGTCATGATGAACGTTATTAACTCTCTAAAGTCTGATGAACGTTATTAACTCTCTAAAGTCATGATGAACGTTATTAACTCTCTAAAGTCATGATGAACGTATTAACTCTCTAAAGTCCTGATGACGTTATTAACTCTCTAAATTCATGATGAACGTTATTAACTTTCTAAAGTCCTGAAACGTTATTAACTCTTTAAAGTCAAGATGAACGTTATTAACTCTCTAAAGTCATGATGAACGTTATTAACTCTCTAAAGTCATGATGAACGTTATTAACTCTCTAAAGTCATGATGAACGTTATTAACTCTCTAAAGTCATGATGACGTTATTAACTCTCTAAAGTCCTGATGAACGTTATTAACTCTCTAAGTCATGATGAACGTTATTAACTCTCTAAAGTCCTGATGAACGTTATTAACTCTCTAAAGTCATGATGAACGTTTTAACTCTCTAAAGTCATGATGAACGTTATTAACTCTCTAAAGTCATGATGAACGTTATTAACTCTCTAAAGTCCTGATGACGTTATTAACTCTCTAAAGTCCTGATGAACGTTATTAACTCTTTAAAGTCATGATGACGTTATTAACTCTTTAAAGTCATGATGAACGTTATTAACTCTCTAAAGTCATGATGAACTTTATTAACTCTTTAAGTCCTGATGAACGTTATTAACTCTCTAAAGTCATGATGAACGTTATTAACTCTTAAAGTCATGATGAACGTTATTAACTCTCTAAATCATGATGAACGTTATTAACTCTCTAAAGTCATGATGAACGTTATTAACTCTCTAAAGTCATGATGAACGTTATTAACTCTCTAAAGTCCTGATGAACGTTATTAACTCTCTAAAGTCATGATGAACGTTATTAACTCTCTAAAGTCATGATGAACGTTATTAACTCTCTAAAGTCATGATGAACGTTATTAACTCTTTAAAGTCATGATGAACGTTATTAACTCTCTAAAGTCATGATGAACGTTATTAACTCTCTAAAGTCATGGATGAACGTTATTAACTCTCTAAAGTCATGATGAACGTTATTAACTCTTTAAGTCATGATGAACGTTATTAACTCTTACAGTCATGATGAACGTTATTAACTCTCTAAAGTCATGATGAACGTTTATTAACTCTCTAAAGTCATGATGAACGTTATTAACTCTCTAAAGTCATGAACGGATTAAACTCTCTAAAGTCATGATGAACGTTATTAACTCTCTAAAGTCATGATGAACGTTATTAACTCTCTAAAGTCATGATGAACGTTATTAACTCTCTAAAGTCATGATGAACGTTATTAACTCTTTAAAGTCATGATGAACGTTATTACTTCTAAAGTCATGATGAACGTTATTAACTCTCTAAAGTCATGATGAACGTTATTAACCTCTAAAGTCATGATGAACGTTATTAACTCTTTAAATCATGATGAACGTTATTAACTCTCTAAAGTCATGATGAACGTTATTAACTCTCTAAAGTCATGATGAACGTTATTAACTCTCTAAAGTCATGATGAACTATTAACTCTCTAAAGTCATGATGAACGTTATTAACTCTCTAAAGTCATGATGAACGTTATTAACTCTCTAAAGTCCTGATGAACGTTATTAACTCTCTAAAGTCATGATGAACGTTATAACTCTACAAGTCATGATGATTTAACTCTTTAAAATCATGATGAACGTTATTAACTCTCTAAAGTCATGATGAACGTTATTAACTCTCTAAAGTCATGATGAACGTTATTAACTCTCTAAAGTCTGATGAACGTTATTAATCTCTTTAAAATCATGATGAACGTTATTAACTCTCTAAAATCATGATGAACGTTATTAACTCTCTAAAGTCATGATGAACGTTATTAATCTCTAAAGTCATGATGAACGTTATTAACTCTCTAAAGTCCTGATGAACGTTATTAACTCTTTAACTAAGTCATGATGAACGTTATTAAACTCTCAAAGTCATGATGAACGTTATTAACTCTCTAAAGTCATGATGAACGTTATTACTCTTAACTAGTCCTGATGAACGTTATTAACTCTCTAAAGTCATGATGAACGTTATTAACTCTCTAAAGTCCTGATGAACTTATTAACTCTTTAAAAATAACGTCATGATGAACGTTATTAACTCTCTAAAGTCATGATTAACGTTATTAACTCTTTAAAGTCATGATGAACGTTATTAACTCTCTAAAGTCATATGAACGTTATTAACTCTCTAAAGTCCGATGAACGTTATTAACTCTCTAAAGTCATGATGAACGTTATTAACTCTCTAAAGTCCTGATGAACGTTATTAACTCTCTAAAGTCCTGATTAACGTTATTAACTCTCTAAAGTCCTGATGAACGTTATTAACTCTCTAAAGTCATAATGAACGTTATTAACTCTCTAAAGTCATGATGAACGTTATTAACTCTCTAAAGTCCTGATGAACGTTATTAACTCTCTAAAGTCATGATGAACGTTATTAACTCTTTAAAGTCATGATGAACGTTATTAACTCTCTAAAGTCCTGATGAACGTTATTAACTCTCTAAAGTCATGATGAACGTTATTAACTCTCTAAAGCCCTGATGAACGTTATTAACTCTCTAAAGTCATGATGAAGTTATTAACTCTCTAAAGTCCTGATGAACGTTATTAACTCTCTAAAGTCATGATGAACGTTATTAACTCTCTAAGTCATGATGAACGTTATTAACTCTCTAAAGTCATGATGAACGTTATTAACTCTCTAAAGTCATGATGAACGTTATTAACTCTTTAAAGTCCTGATGAACGTTATTAACTCTCTAAAGTCATGATGAACGTTATTAACTCTCTAAAGTCATGATGAACGTTATTAACTCTCTAAAGTCTGATGAACTTATTAACTCCTAAAGTCATGATGAACGTTATTAACTCTCTAAAATCATGATGAACGTTATTAACTCTCTAAAGTCATGATGAACGTTATTAACTCTCTAAAGTCATGATGAACGTTATTAACTCTCTAAAATCATGATGAACGTTATTAACTCTCTAAAGTCCTGATGAACGTTATTAACTCTTTAACTAAAGTAATGATGAACGTTATTAACTCTCTAAAGTCATGATGAACGTTATTAACTCTCTAAAGTCATGATGAACGTTATTAACTCTTTAACTAAAGTCATGATGAACGTTATTAACTCTCTAAAGTCATGATGAACGTTATTAACTCTCTAAAGTCCTGATGAACGTTATTAACTCTTTAACTAAAGTCATGATGAACGTTATTAACTCTCTAAAGTCATGATGAACGTTATTAACTCTCTAAAGTCATGATGAACGTTATTAACTCTCTAAAGTCCTGATGAACGTTATTAACTCTCTAAAGTCATGATGAACGTTATTAACTCTCTAAAGTCATGATGAACGTTATTAACTCTTTAAAGTCCTGATGAACGTTATTAACTCTAAAGTCTGATGAACGTTATTAACTCTCTAAAGTCCTGATGAACGTTATTAACTCTCTAAAGTCCTGATGAACGTTATTAACTCTCTAAAGTCCTGATGAACGTTATTAACTCTCTAAAGTCATGATGAACGTTATTAACTCTCTAAAGTCCTGATGAACGTTATTAACTCTCTAAAGTCATGATGAACGTTATTAACTCTTTAAAGTCCTGATGAACGTTATTAACTCTTTAACTAAAGTCATGATGAACGTTATTAACTCTCTAAAGTCATGATGAACGTTATTAACTCTCTAAAGTCCTGATGAACGTTATTAACTCTCTAAAGTCATGATGAACGTTATTAACTCTCTAAAGTCCTGATGAACGTTATTAACTCTCTAAAGTCATGATGAACGTTATTAACTCTCTAAAGTCCTGATGAACGTTATTAACTCTCTAAAGTCCTGATTAACGTTATTAACTCTCTAAAGTCCTGATGAACGTTATTAACTCTCTAAAGTCATGATGAACGTTATTAACTCTTTAAAGTCATGATGAACGTTATTAACTCTCTAAAGTCATGATGAACGTTATTAACTCTCTAAAGTCATGATGAACGTTATTAACTCTCTAAAGTCATGATGAACGTTATTAACTCTCTAAAGTCATGATGAACGTTATTAACTCTAAAGTCATGATGAACGTTATTAACTCTTAAAGTCATGATGAACGTTATTAACTCTCTAAAGTCATGATGAACGTTATTAACTCTTAAAGTCATGATGAACGTTATTAACTCTCTAAAGTCATGATGAACGTTATAAACTCTCTAAAGTCATGATGAACGTTATTAACTCTCTAAAGTCATGATGAACGTTATTAACTCTAAAGTCATGATGAACGTTATTAACTCTCTAAAGTCATGATGAACGTTATTAACTCTCTAAAGTCATGATGAACGTTATTAACTCTCTAAAGTCATGATCACGTTATTAACTCTCTAAAGTCATGATGAACGTTATTAACTCTCTAAAGTCATGATGAACGTTATTAACTCTCTAAAGTCATGATGAACGTTATTAACTCTCTAAAGTCATGATGAACGTTATTAACTCTCTAAAGTCCTGATGAACGTTATTAACTCTCTAAAGTCCTGATGAACGTTATTAACTCTCTAAAGTCATGATGAACGTTATAACTCTCTAAAGTCCTGATGAACGTTATTAACTCTCTAAAGTCCTGATGAACGTTATTAACTTTAAAGTTCTGATGAACGTTATTAACTCTCTAAAGTCATGATGAACGTTATTAACTC